AAAAACTGTTTTTTTAAAATTTCATAGTGTTTCCTGGGTTATGATTAAGCTTTTCAACAATTTTATGAAAGAAGGGTCCATCACCAATGGTCACATTATGTAATGGTTAGCGTATAGGACTGTTAAACCGAAGTTCACGGGTTTAAACCTGATCGAAGACGTGGATTTTTGAGGGTGAGGATATCCTCCTTACGCCTTCCTTCAGAGAGGAAGTAAAGCCCGCTGTCTCATGTTAGTAGATTTACTGAATGTAAAAGATCCTCAAGCCTAAATGAAGCCTCTGAACTAAATTCAAATCGCCTGTTTTGCCACCCAAGGAATACCTCCTTTCTCTGCTAGTGGGTAAAAGGAACCTACCGAAATTTGGCCGGAAGACTGAAGAGCAAGCCTGATGGCCTGCCTTGCCATGGAAAATAAGGCATCAATACAATTCAAATTCAATTCAACTACCAATCAGAGCAACCAATCGTTATTACGGCGATCTCTTCATCCGAACTATCAATTATTTTAAATTTTAATTTACAGAAATTTGAGACAAGAGAACTTTGTCATACACAAACAAAAGATTGAGCACAAAACATAGAAGTTAAAAAAAAAAAAAAAAAAAAAAGTGTTTAAAACATCAATATTTTTATTGACAATTGTCGAAACGCCATATCCACATGTTTGAACTATTCCAAAAAGGGAAAACGACATTTTATTAACGACTTTCGGGACGTTCTTTTTCAGAGTAAGAAGTTTTCTCGCGTGTTTCAAGTAATATTCCATTCTCTTAGAAAACAACCAAAATTGTTATTATTTTTGAATTTTTTAGTTTGGTTTAACTGAAAATGTCGAAAAAGAACAAGCCTATAAATGCTTCTCACCAAAGTCAGCTGTTTGTCCAGTACCAAATTTTACAAGGAGTTAGCCCAGAAAATGTGATCTGTTGTGACTAATGATGAGTTGATAGCAGACGTTTGCCAAAAAGGCCTTTTAGTCAATTTTATAACTTAACAGTAGGAATAACTTAATTGTCCATCTGAGGCATCTTGTTTTGCCTATTTTGTCTTATTTTTGCCTTTTTTTCACCTTATACATAATTATTTTCCTCTTTTTCTCTCGTCCTGGTCCGATCTCAATCATGTACGAATTATACATGCAAGCCTGAACACAAAGGAAGTGTTATGTTTCCTCGTTCTGAGGATTTAGAGGCTGTGTTAAAATCTGAATGAAAAAGAAAGGCAATACAAGTAAAGATTACACAAGTGCAAAGAAAGAAAAAAGTAATTCCTCTTTACAGATGCCATTTCAAGATTTAAAAGGGGTTCACAATAGCAGTTCTAAGAAACACCATGTGAGTGAAACCAGTTCCTAGTCATCATACACCAAGAGGAATCAAGATAAAGAAAAGTTTGTTTCCTTATGTTAAATGCTAATGTAAACTTCAGAGTTGGAAAAAAATTTCATTCCATTTTAATGATTAATTTTTTTACCATAGTTTCTTTCAACTGTGATTTTTCATTGTTTACATGCCTATTTGCAACCCTAATTTAGTTAGAATAAATCCCTTTTGGAATGCATATTTCTGTAAAAATAAACACCTCAACTTCCAGGCTCCAGTTATGTGCTAGGATCAAATTTATAATACCAATTTACAAAAAAAAATAAAGTCAAACAAACATGAAACAGTAGCTTCAATCACTCGAGTAAATAATAAAAGAACTCAATCACAATTTTGAATAATGTACAAATAACACACGCACACACACACAAACTACAAAATCTGAGGGACCGGTGTTACCCATCTATAACATAATAAAATTTGTTACCACTTAAGGAACAATCATTTTCTATTTGACAAATAGTTCGGCATTTTGTTTGTAATATATTGTGCTATATGATGAATTGTTAATTTTTGATGACAATTCTCAAAAATTTCCATTTCATATATATACGAATTACTACACATTGGGTCAAATAATGATTTAATAAATGTAATACATTGTATTTGTAATACCTACCTATTGTAAAAACAAGATAAAATGTTAAGAAATGAACTAGTCTAATTCAAAAAACACAGAAAATTGATCTTCTTGGTCTAAACTTTACTCTGAATACAAGCAAACGCATGTGGCTCTTGTTTGTTGCATCGGCATAGTGCCTTCATGCACAAGCTGTCTGTCAACAGAATTTTTTGGTTACCTCTCAGAACATGAGATCATAAGTTACAGCAACAGACTTTACAGCAGTTGTAGTTCAGTTATTGAGTAAGAAAATTCTATTAGTGTATGTTCTCCTTTAATAGTAAATGAAATAGAGTAATTGCCATCACATCAAATTGATATTGGTTTCCGCACTGAACACAATACTTCTCCAACTGTCCCCAGTCCATCGAACTAAAAAAAACATTTGCAAGAATACCCCTTCGAAGTGGCAAGAAGAAAGTGCTTCTGCGCAATTTTCCAGCAAGAGCAACTAAAAATCCAACATCATTAAGATAATGGATGAACTGACTGCCAAAATAACACGTGTCAGTATCAGTGCAAGGGCTCATCATAAATGATATTTAAGCAGGTTATATTTAGACATGCAATAGAACAAGTAAAACTGAAAAAAATTCTAAGATAGTAGTTTCTACAACATACTTAATTACATTTCAGTAAGATTGGTGGCCGCAAAAATTTATAAAATGTTTGTTTAAATGTGCAAGAGTGAACAGATCTTAGGATATATGCAGTGAATTTTTAAGTTATTTTCAGTTCAGATGGAAATTGCAAAGTACACAATCTTTAAACCCACTGCTGAATTCATGGAAAGGGAAAAGGTATCTTCATTCAAACACAAGAAATGTAGTTTATGCCAAACTAAGCAAGTGAATAATATGTGTATCTTACAACAATGAAAAATTCAGTGGCAAATTAAATTCCTGATCCATTGGAAACTTATGCCTACTGACTACACATAATTGATATTATGAAACAAAAAAAATCACGTGTCACATTGACAAAATAAAAAAAAATTAGGCATATCACTTTTAATGCTTATATTCCCTGTAAAATGAGGATTTTTCAACTGCGAGAAGTAGAACATGGTAAAATAATATAATCTTTAGCTGTAAATAAAAAACGATTTGAATTTTATTAATATAATATTCACCGACTTGCTTTCGGTTGGCATGCCTGTAAACGTAAAATACTGAATTTTGGAAAATTTCCTGTCATTCAAAACAACTTTTAGGAATATGAAGATCTGGTTTTGGCTTAATGGTGGAGGCAAGTGTACAACTGTTACTTAATAGAGAATTGGATTGTTCAATGAAACCTTATTAGAAATGATAAATGCAAAACCTGCTACACTTTCTGTAGATTTGGAGTTCTTGTTTCTTATCTGTTATCTAGTTTTGACAGTACTTCATCAGTACTGTTAGAGAGGTTTCTTGTATGCACTTTTGTGTAAGTATTTTGCCTTAAGGTAATTATGAAGTAAATCCCCACAGACTAGGTTTCCGGTATCTCTGGACATTTGTAAACTCTAAATTTAACAGTAACAAATCACAAAATGAAGCTTCAAATTCATCTTACAACCACAATTACTGTTCAATACTTTGGAATATTTTCTAACAATTTGAATTCACACAGGTAGATGGATATATGAGAGAGAGGATGTAAGACTGATAAATGAGGACATTCTCATATTTTCACAAGTAGCCTGTATCAAAGCACAATGCATAGCAAGCAAGTTATTGATTCCCAGATTTCACTTAAAAGTACAAGAAGTAATATTTTCTAAGTAATATAAATTACTATACGTATATGAACCCCCCCTCTCACACTCACACACAAACATTGAGCACAAATCTGAATTTACATACTTATGCACCCAGAATACTGGTTCCTCAAGATTCAGGTTTATATTACTGGCCAAATAACGAAGTACACATGTAGGCATGCGCACTGGGTGGAGGGTTAAATCTTTGATGTGAATGACTAAAAGAATGTATAAATATATACTGAACTTTACAGAGAAGATATATACTTGGGCGAATCTTCCCAAATAGTCTTACTGTATTACTTTGAGCAAGTACCATAAAATATGGAAAAATTCAGTGTTTTTCTCAATTGTAGAAAACAACATTTGTGCCATAATAATTAACTTGTGTACATTTTCCAATAATTAATAGTACTTGATAATTATAAATTTTTAATTAATGCAAAAACAAAAACACATAATTAACCAAATTGTAAAATAAAGTATCATTATCTAGGCAAAACCGTGAAGAAACTTCGAGTCTACAACTAATCTGTCGATTTGGACTTTCAACACCGCATAAACACCCAAAACGCTTCTAAAAAATTAAAAATCGGCCAGAAACCACTCATATTGCTGAAGAGAATATGAAACTATCACTCTAAAAACACAATTTAAAAAAAGACAAAATATTTGTAATGTAAAATGGTATATTTATGTAAATAAAAAAATTGAATGGATAAGAGTGCTCAGAAAAGTAGACCCCCACCTTTAGGCTGCGCATACCTTCGTAAACAAACTTTTCTTCTTGTGAATTTAAGATAAACTAACGTACCACTAGCATGTGAGAGAATTCAGGAATTCCACAATGCCCTCCCTCACCTTCAATTTTTGATATATAAAATAAAGGTTTATTAAACACTTTTTTTCTCCCTTTGAAAAATGTGAGAAGATTGGTTAACAATATAAGTTATGTAAGCAAATAGTAAAAATTAGAGGAATCACACCCCAACATTACAGGAAGACATATTATTGCTCTCCTGGGAGGTGGGATATCAGACAATTAAATCCAACAATTCCAGTGTTCTGTGCACTCCCAAGAATAATTAATTCTCCGAATTTGAAGTGTATCCTTAGGCATACTTGGTAAATATTTCATTCATACATAAACTTTATCGTAAATGACTTCAAGCTGTTAACAAATCTAATCTCTATTCTAGCCTAATCATGTATGTCCATTATCTCCTTTCAATCGAAATAATTATCAATGTAGTGTGGTAAGTACTTTTATTTATCAAATAAAGATGTCAGAAGAAGCAAAGACACTAGTATTCTAGAAAATTTCCTTCAGAAACAGGTAGGGAGAAACTATAATGAGATTTTCCTATCAACCATGAAACCAGTTGCTGAAACCAATTTAATAATCAAGACTTCCATAATATTTTGATCAGTAGATATTTCTTACAATAATTTGTTAAATCTTTCCCAACTTTAATACAAAATATTATCAAATTAAGTTTGTAAGCTTACAACACATTGTAAGAAATAAAACCACAAAGCTAATTTGTAAAAATAAAGGTTGCAACATTCCTGCACAAGTTAAAAGAGTACACTTCCACTGAAATTCTCAAATTCCTTAATTTTCTAAAAGCAAATGTCCCAAAATATTGTTTTACAGATGCTCATCAACTTTATAGTCATATTAAATGCAAAAGTACGGTGTGCTGAAAGTATGCCACTGCTTAATCACATATAAAAAGCCTTATAATCGTGTTTTATTATGAAGACTATAAGGACTACACTAGAATATTTAATTGACTCGCACATATATGCAATACCACATTGGTAAAATATATATCCAAACTAATCAAATTACAGTGCCTGACCAAATATAATACTGAACCACCCATAAAACATAATATTTACTATGAAAATATGTTTATTACGTTATGATACATTAACGTTCCTTAAACAAATACAACTAAGCATTACATAAAATGTTTACCAGCTTAATTGTTCTATATTGTTATCAATATTTAATGAATCTCCTTGAAATTTCAAATCAATTTTGATACATTGTATTGAATCAATGCATTACTTTGCAACGTCTTTCAGTTCATCTCCTCAAAGCCATTTTATATTCTCCACAAAGCATGTTCTGTCAGTGATCTCTTCTTTTGTTATTGCTTTCTTCAGGACACTCCACACATTTTCAATGAGGATCATATATGATGAGTTGCCAGGCCAAGCCAAAACTGGAGCCGTAATGTCCACCAGGAATTTGAACAGATTTAGCGGTATGACAGGGTGCTCATCTTGAAAAAACCAGCCTCTTGGAAACCATTTTTCAATCTGTGGAAGTAATGATAAGGGAAAAACTTCAATATACTGTGACTGGTGCATTGTGCTTACAAGAAAATACAAGCTTCCTGGGCCATGACAACACTACACCCCCACACCATCTCTGACCGAGGGAGTTTACAGGCTATCACATAATCCCAAGAACTGCTCATCAAATTCCTTCAAACAAACTGAGCACTATCCATCACCACCTGGATCATTATTTCATCACTGAAACAAACCTGAGAAAAAAAATCATCATATATGTATACAAAGTCAATGCAGCAAACTAATTTAGCAATACGTCAAATTAAATGCTTATTAATCTCGGTCATCAGGAGTGAAATGTTCAATCTACTTCCCCACCCCCTTGTTTTTCCCCTTTTTTCTCTTTTTTTCCCAATCAGTTAGTTTTGTGTTGCAGTAGATCTTCTACAATTAAACCTCATGGAAATATCAGTGCTCTTCTGGTTGCTCACTTAAATGTGTGTTCTAACAGAACACACTCCTTTGCACTTTGATGTTTTTAGCTCCTGTTGAAGCCCTTCTGCTCCCCTTGGCAATCTTCTTTAGTGCTTTTGACCCATGAGATGAGAATTCCTTTTTTCTACCACACAGCCTGGGTAATTAAAAGATACCGAGGATTTGTATTATTTAATGCCTGTCCACAATATGCACATCTTTCCATTATTATTAATATCCTTATTTGATTATTATAGTTAATCAGTGTTGAGACATTTGTTATACTCAGAAGGGATACAACTTAGCTTTTCTTTCTTGGTGTAGCCTGTGTCTTAACCCACAAAGGAAATCCATTTGTATTTGAGGCATGTTGTTAAAACTGTCTTACCCATCATTTTTTCAGTTTTGAGCTTATGTTCAAATTTGGCAGAACATAAAGTAATCTCCCTTAGCGTTTTCAAAACAATAATCACAACCACAAGCAATTTTGTATCAGAACGCAAATTCTTTAAACGGCAGTATTTTTCGAGTTCAGATACCTGCAAGACCGTACATAATATTTGCTATTTTCAACATCAACAAGAAACCCAAGTTACAAATTTTGAAGCCTATCAGCACTGCTGTAAACGGAAACATTTCCAAAAAACCAGACAATTGCTCTTAATTTGGCCAGGCACTGCATATTGATCAACCAAGTATCTCATTTGACCTTGATATAGTGGCAGATTTTGCATATCCTTGTCAACATAAGCACTGCAATGGAATTGTAAAATTGACATTGACAAACATTTCTAATTCTTTGGTACAGCAAGAACACATAGATTCAATTTGCTGTAGACTAAATGTAGCCCAATGTACGACTGTGATAATATTAAGAAAATATTGCAAAACGCACACTCACAACACAGTCATTTGAAGAGTTAAAAAGCAACACCATCATGTTTATCTTAATATTACCATACGAAATATTTCATAAGTTCAGAGGCACTGTCACCAGCAGAAAACTTGTGTAATTTCCAAATTTCATCACAGATTGTATCTCCTCGAACATCACTACCAAAGAATCTCCACTTTCCCAAAATATGAAGCATTACTGATAAACACTCTTAGAGGTTCTTTGGGTTCCTACAAAAGCACTGCAGTTCCTGAACCTGTCACACCTCTCTCCCTTTCTCCTAATGCATGCACACACAATCCCTCTTTCTCAGACTGGAAGAACTCCTGTTCCCATTGGATGTAAGACGACCTTATTTGTTCCCCAAATCAATCACTTAACAGATACATTGCAGCTTGAAGACATTTACAAAACAGCATATTGCTTTTAAAAAAAACTGTTGCTGTTTTGTCCCTTTAATGTATTTATTTATTAGAATTTGTTGCCCTCCACTCAAAAATTGTTTGAAGGAAGATGAACATAATTGCTAGTCAAAAAGTGTTTATATGTCAATTGAAATGTTTAAAAAAAAAAAAAAGTTAAAATTCAAAACAATTTTTGACTTAGGGATCAACAACCCGCAAACTACAGGGTGCATGTTTTAATGTCAAAATTATAAGGGAAAAAAGTTATATGAAAGTACTTTATATACTTTGTATTCTGCTTAAATTCCAAACCCATAGTGGCATGGGTTTGCCAAATTTGGAACTATTGTAGGGCTGGTACTTCATCATCATCATTATTATTATTTTTATTATTATTATTATTATTATTATTGTTATTATTGTTGTTGGTATTATATTATTATTATTATTATTTCATTCTTAACTGATCTAACGACAAGGAGCAAAAAAATTGAAACTTTCATTTCTAGCAACCATTCTAATATAGTTTTGTGTGTATACATGCACGCAAACACACACACACACACATACATACATGGTAACTTGCACACTTCTTTCTACCTTCATTAAATCTTGAAATATTAAAATACTAACGACAATGAAATATAAATACTAAAAGAAAATTCAGAAGGCAAAGTTCAGCTCACTAACCACATTAACTCCCAAAAGCATAGGCTTTATTCTGACTTCAGTTGAGGGGCATTGTAAGGATACAAAATTAGATGCTCTTGCATTTTTAACACCATCTAATGCCATACAAAATTATGTAGTTAAACAATCCCCCCTCTACTCAGAACCCACAATTGCTCCAAGAACAAAATCATGAACTTAATGTGCGCTTGTGCCAGTCCCAGGCAATTAAAATAAGGGAATAAAATTACTGAAGAATATATAGGAACATTGAATCCAAAATTCTCAGATCCCATTACAAAATGGAACAGTTGAATTTCCCATATACAGGCATTATCACCAAAGTTTATAAGAGTTTCACATCCCTTTTTGTTTGTAATATGTGTTTGCTGCATAAAGAGTGTCAAGTCCAAAATGAGTTTGTTACAGGTGTATGTAAAAATTGTTAAATCTACTTGCATGTAAACGGAGCAATGTTCTAGGCCACTTTTACACAGTGTCATTCATTTGTGAATTTTGGATATGCGTGAAAACACCTGAATGTTGCGGTATAAAGAGAGGCTATGTCCATAATTTAAAAAACAAATATATTTATAATAGCATATTTTTGGAACTATAATTTTGTTAACTTTTATTTTGTCCATAACACCCTTTAAACAGGAAACCCTGATCTACCAGCAAAAAATGTTGCAGTTTTTCAACTGTGAACAACTTACTCAATGAAGGATGAATAAGATAATAATGGTCACTTCTTTTCCATATTTCTTTTCTACTAGATAATACTTCATGTGTAATAAAAACCTTTTAACATGCTTAATAGGTCACATACCAGTCACGGAAACAACCAATATTTGGAGAAAAGAATAGCCGATTACTTTGAAAGTAAACATTTTTGTATAATGAATCATGATCATCTCATTCGAGATAACACTATAGCAAGTCTTGAATAGTTTTGCCAGTCACCAATATAGTGAAAAGGATGGAAACATCAGATACTTTGTTACCAACATGGGTAACTCACCATTCGGTTTCTCTGTTGCAGGCACTGATGGAATCAAGAGGAAGAGAGCAGTGACCATGAAAACTCTGAGAGGGCATTAACATACAGTGGCAATAAGTAAGAAATGTTGATGATCTGTTTCATCTCTTACATTGTTAAACTATTACAAATTATAAACAATATTTTATTTTTGTTTTTCAACGTACAAAACAATTTTGAAATCAACCAATAATTCAACAGACAGCATGAAATTTACGCAAAAAGCATCTGAGAAAGTCAAGGCACAAATAATGTGGAGACCTGTTAGAATTAGCAAGAATGACATTCTGGCCCATCACAACTTATTTGTAATGTATTCAATCAAAAGTACTGTACCTATTCCTCCCTAATAGAATTATGTTACTTGCAATTTTCCCTTTAGTATTGTCAGCAGTGAATGCAATAAAAATATTTAAGTTAACAAACCACCTTAAAACATCTAGAAAAATTTCTCAATTATCTCTGACAAAGAAGAAGCATAGGTAAAGAAGAAAAGAAATATGTATTCACATATTTCTTGTAGTGCACTTCTCCATTTGTTGAAAGCTTAGAGATGAGAGGGGAGACATCTGTAATTAATGAAAACATAATAGAGAAATTGAAAATACCTGCAGGCAAACCATTAATTCCCCTTACAGAACCCCTTTATTTCTCAAGGGAAAACAATCTTCACATGATGATTTCAGCGCAAGAATATTTAACATCACAATTACTGTTATGGCATTTCACATGCTACTACATCTTAACCTCATGCAAAACTATTAACTGCCACATTTCACCCAGATACATGCAACCCCTATCCCCTTCTTCCAATTTACCTACATTGCATTTCAATGAAGAAATGTAAACCATTATTACTAGGGGAAATGCTGCAATATTGCGAAATTAATTATTATTATTATTAATAATTATCATCATCAATGAAACCTACTTCATACTGACCATCTCATTTTTGTTAAACATCCAATGAGCATGATTATAAAGTTATACAATATGCAAATTTAAAATTGATTTATATCTTGATTTGTGAAATGAACGTTCTTATAAATAGAGGATATTGCTCCAAGCATTGAAAATGTAATTCATTCATTTATGTATAGTTACTTTCTGACAGATACCTCTCTTAGAATTATCATCAGTTTCTCTCATTTTGCAATATTAGCAGTAAGTTCTAACCATTTATTGTAACAATTTTCCTACCAAAGAAGTATATAAGAATTCAGTTATGAGAATTGTTGCAACAAGATTCTTGGTTGAAGGCTCAAAGGTTTTGTTGGCTACAATATTTTTTTTTTAATTATTTACAAATTTATCATTTGATTTTTTGATTTTTAATTTACAACTAGTCACTACGTACTAAGAGCATATGTGATTATCACTAAAAGGTATGGTTTTAAATTTTTAAATCACATGTAGTTTGATGAAATCTTAAAATAACTACATGCCTCTTAGACAGGACACTATTTGTTTGACAATCTGTATATGAGCTTGACAATTTAATAGCATAATTTTCAGAGAATGGTGATTTTTTTCCAATTTTTTTCCAAATCAACATGCAGTTGACACAACTTTTAGACTTAAATATCGATTGAAACATGTTTCTTTTAAGTCTTCTTTACAGTGTACAAAACTATTAGCTTATTTACGTGAAAATTTTGTACCAGTGAGCAAACCACAAGTTCATGCAATCACATTTGTTTCAGTATCATGCAAAAGCAACTACATAAAATAGAAAGTAACAAAAAAATCCTACACAATTCTGGATTACATAAACAGGTTTTAGTACTTTACATAGAAAAAAATGCAGAACAGAACATGTCATTAACACAGACATGCATAGGCACAAACAAATGATTCCCTCTCCTTAACCCACCCAACATTGTAAGTATTCATGAAACAATACAGCAAGAAATATGACAGATGAATAACAAGAGCAATAGAAGTTCTAGAACTATTCCTGAACAATGGCTACAGCCACCTGAACAAAGTAACTACTTTAAATGTGAAGCCCAAACACATAACACATTATATTGAAATTATTGGTAGTACCTGCATATTTACAACAACGAAAATAACTTGGGAAATACCAATTTTAGTGAAATTATACTGAATTGACCAGAAGTAATGAAAAATGGGAAAGACCTGTACACTCAAAAGTTAATTAATAACTATCATAAAGACTTACCTCAGCTGGCGCTTCAGAAGCACAGCGATTGTATATGCTGGAGATTTTAAGGTCATTGAGAGGCTTCGGAGTCCACCCAGTGCCAGTTTGAGCAGCAACAGCAACATCATCAGCAGCAGCTGCAGGAGTCGCAACCAAGGTGGCCACTTCTTCATCCTCAGCCAAAGTAGGTGTTGGGGTTGGTCGGCACTTCCGACGCTTTGTTGGCGCTACAAACGTGCACAACACATATAGCAGAAGAAAAATCTAACTTAACCCAAAACATTAAAATGAATTGTTAATCTAATTTACATAAATATAAAAGCAATACAACTAAAAATACATGAACACTGTCGAACCTTTGAGAGAAAAACACTAATAAATTAACCAGAATTTAGACACATTTACAAATATTCTTAACTATCCCAGTACTTTTCTAGTTGTAATTGTATACCAATATAAAAAAAAGTACAAAAAAATTAAACAGGTACTCCAACATTCCAACACTCATCAGCACTTACATCAACTCTTCATTACATTTACACTGCCTTCAAAGCATTTTAATGAAACCAAAGAAAAAAATATGAAATTAACATTCCTTCATAACCTCTGACAAGTTATCTGCTTTACCCCCAATAAGATCTGGTTGGTCCAAATGAAACCAGCTTTTTATTTCTGTTCTGGCTGTTCCATCATGATGAGTAAAAACCATAGACATTTTACAGCCTTCTTTAACTGTTCAATCAATATAAAAAAATAAACAAACGAAGACAAAGATTGAGAAGTACATGAATAATAGTTTTCCATTAAACGTGAGACAAAATGAGTAGACACCAAAAAGTTGCTTTTCAAATTTAGACTAGGTTCAGTGGAATCAATAGTCCTTATTTTGGAGTATATTCACCCAACTTCTAAGACTTCTCATGCAAAATATATTTAATGTGAATTATACCATTAAGTTTGTTTATTTTTCTCTTTTCCCACAAAGATTATAATCTGTCCATTAAAGTTTCATTGGAGACAGCTAAGTAAAGTTTTTTTGTTAATGTAAACAACTACACCTTACTCTGAGATCATACTTCAGTTGTCTTGGAAACAATTGCTGAAAAATTAATTTTGGCAAAATACCAAATATCAAAACTGTATATTGATGAAAGAATATGACTGACATTAGCAGCTTGTGGCCCTAGTACTAGACAATTCGGTTATTGTTTAACTCTTGCAACACTATGAAATCACCAACAATAAGCTCTTTCAGTATTTGAAGAAAAAAGAAAAGAAAAAAAAAGAAAGAAAAAAGGAAAAAAATGAAAGAAAAAAAAAGAAAAAAGAAAAAAAAGGCACTGCAAATCACTAATGGCCAAAATGCCAACCATTTTCTTCCACCAAATGAGAAACTCCACAATACTAGACAAGACATTCATATTCTTACATTACCACAGGAAGAGTGTAATAAAACAAGCTTGACAGTAACAATAGAATAAATAGTACATTTTTCATCTTATTTCCCTGAATATTCAGCTACTTCAGCATCATCACTTCGCAACCTAATGAATGCATCCACACGGTGGTAATACACTTTTTTTAATCATACTCCAGAAAGAGAAGGTTAACCTCAAAACTTTTTTGGAGAGAATTCTTTAACAAAGTAATTCACATTCAAGCATACTGTATGGCCCTACGTAACATACAATACATTCCAAAGAAAAATTAATTGAAAAGAGTAATATTAGCTATACACAACTACAAGAAGCAAAGTAAAGCATTATAGTAAAATTTTATTGCTACTCAATTTAAGTATTGAACTAGTTTCCAAAGCATTCCATTAAACTGGAAGCAAAATGCAACTAAACGACTACTTTCATTACAATGATAATTTTAAACACTGTCCATTTTACCACTCCATCCCACAGAATGTCTTTGAATGGTTGGTTTATATGAAATTCCTCACTTACCAGGCCCGTCATCTGTCCTGTTTGGCTGTCTTTTTCCCCGCTGAGACATTCTGCTTTCACTGACAACAAAACGCACACCTCCTCCCAAGTGTTACAACCTACAACAGCACAAAACAATTGTTACTTAAAGTTGATTGCCAACATGTGTTTAAGAGTTGGAAATTAGTGTGAAGCACAATCCACATACATCCAAAAGTAAACAAACCTTTCAATTGCCATAGTGATACTGAAAAACAATTCTACAATGTATTCAAGACGCTTCCTGGGCTGTTCTTAAGTATGCCAATGAAAATAACTCCCACAGTGATTTTGTACATCAAGAATTTAGGAAATATATGCTGACAATCGGCAAATACTGAAAAGACGAAAGATTCATACTTACTACATAGCTGGAGTTGTAGTTACAGGAGTGACATGAATTCAAAAATATCTGCAAGGAGGCCCAGCTAGTTAATAATTTGTGGACAGAAGAAATGACAACCAACACATCTCTGGTACATCCCGCCATCACTAAACTCCACAAACAACACTTGTACAGCACTGAACACTGGATTATCACAAATTCTTGCATTACCACTATACCAAAAGCAACCTATGTTACACTAACGATTGGTGTCAAATGACTACCACACTTGCCTGGCACTTTTCTAGTATTCATTAAATTCATCATTACAACGGCGCCTCCAATCACAATTACACAAAATACACCTCCACACATGAACACAAATCATTTCAAAAATATCGCACATAAACAGTAGAGATTGTTATCAATGCACCGTTTCATGGAAGGAGATTCGTCGACTAGATGTAAACATTGCGGATAAGGTTTCTGAGACGCACAATGCAACTTGCAGGATCTTGGTAACACGGTCACTTAGAGGTAAAATACACATTCCTGTCCTAATATGTCACTTTACATTCCAAAGTCAATGATAACTCTTCAATTAGACGTGTTCGTCACTCATACTCACGGCCTCATAAGCTTAACAACATTGACAACACAGATGGCAGCACTCGCAAGCGTTTCGTTAATCTTCGGAGGACCGTAAAAATTTCATGGTCTACAAAAGTGCATTTCTACTGTTATTTGTCTTAAACTATTATACCACCTTCTTTGCAACTATTGCGATATAGTAAATACCGATTCTTCGAGGGAATGAAAAATAACCAGACAAAAATCTTGTCTCAATGTCAGCATAACCAACATGTCCTTCATCACAAATAAGTTACAAATTGGACACTGTATACTCACCATTTAGTGATCTTGAATTCTGTCTAAAACCATGTATATGTATGAACAATTGCCAATTACGTCAGCTAATCAGAAATCTGCGAATGATATACTAGACAGAATACTGAATGACACATTTGGCGCCATCATGCCCGAAAAACAACTCTGTTAAAGTTGGTCACGTGATATTCATGCGAGATCTCAAAATTTACGAGTGTTTTGGTTGAGAGAAATGGGTTGATATTCTTACAGCTTACTAAACGGTTAATTACCGTCTGTCGTTTACGCTTGACATTTTAGCTGTACTCGTATGTCGTTCGACAGCCACTTTGGGATTCTTGTTTTCACAAATTGAATATTAATGGAGCAAGTAAGTAGTTTCACTTTGAGGTTAAATTTACTTTTTGCAGGAACCCAGATGAAAAAATAAACCACGTTTAGCCACCGTCACATTGATAGATGGTTAAAATATTAGAACTCAGGGTAAGGGTAGCCAGTTCGAATCGCGCTCTGAGGTTATTGACATTTATAGCCATTGTGTATTTCGTTACTGAAGGCCTCGAACTGCTGGAGTCTGTGAAGACCATGCTCGGGCTAGGAATTTCTTTGGGTGTAATCTGGGTAACTCGGAATAGCTCTTAAAGAAGTAAATAATTGATTTAGATTACCTTATCGGTTTCTAGCATTCAATTCTGTATGAAATTACTGAAAAACAATAATGTGATGGAGAAATATTTAAATTGACAGTAGTAGGTATAACCAGATCTGTGAAGTTAATTGTATTTGTATAACAAACAGAATCTACAATTAAAAAATAGATAAAAGACCGGTTTTGTATTACATTCTGGTGTGAAAAGTGAATCAATGTATAAGTTTATTCAGTTTGACCAAAACTTGTGATAAAACGTTCAGGATTTAATTTCGAATTGTAAGGATAGTAATCTATGGTCTTACCAATGGTACAAATTGTAAACTTGAGAAGCTGGATTTTTTTATTTATATCTTGCTTTCATAAATCTCATGAAAAATAATAATTACATGTTCTATATTATTGAAACTCTTTGTTTTAATTTCAAATTGTACTCAGTTTATTTTATCCCTTTTTAAAGGAGCATCGGACCAAAGTTGAACAGGCATGCAGGACTGCTGAAGAATTCATAAAACATTATTATGAAGGTTTAGACAGGCGTCGAAATGTATGTATTTCATATTAAGTAATACAATTTTATATCTGTATAGTGACAAAATATTTTTAATACATGCTGTGTACACTAAATATTTTCTCTTGAATTTGGCTTAGTGAAATAATTTGTGAAAATGTTATTCATGGCAATTGGGAATTAATAAACCATTGTTGTGTTTTAACATTGATTTTTGTAATCAATTGTTGTCATTAATGATGTACGTGTGAGGATTTTTCTTTGGTCCTTTCATTAATAGAACAATGTGCACAATCGTGCATATGATGTCAGTTTTATTTTTGCACACTTAGTTGTGCAAAACATGCATGACATGGTGTTCTCAAATCTTGTACACTTGACAAGACGTTGCACATGCATTTATCATTTGGTTCATGGAATAGTTTCATTGCACACCCCATGGTGAAATCCATGCACTGCAAAACGAGTAATCTGATGTCTCAATTCTTTATTTGGGCCCGTCCAATCTTAGTCATAGTGAGTTTGCTGTAGAAGTTCTCCCAAATGAGGTTATGCTTTTGTCTTCTTTCTTTCAGGATCTGTTCAGACGCTGTGGTGGATGGTAATACAAATTGAATCTGCAAATCCCCTATGAAGAAGGTTTTTCACCAATTCATAGACTAGTCTTAATTCATACAGTGAAGCTCCAAAAACGATAACTTTTTTCAAAAAATGTTGCCTTTACACTTTCCCAAAGTTTTAGATCAATGTTCCCAGAAAATTTCAATTCCATATACTAGTGTAGGGATGATCTTTGCATTAAAAAGTTACATAGCTGTGTTTAAGGATAACCGGTGGAGGGTTTTTATTTCGTTAATGACTCTTTATGCCACAGTAGTTCTTTCTTTAACGTGTGTTCTGAAAGTGATTCCTGAAGTTTCGAAAGTGATCTATAGATATCTGAACAACCATACTCCTTTTCTTATATCGTGTTCTGATTTTATATATTCATTTTGTGCAATTTTACCTCGGTTTCTAAAGATCATTGTGACTGTCTTCTCACCCTTTATCACCAATTCATTTTTAGCGGCCCATGTGGTCGAGCCCTTGACACATTCTTGCAAGTAGTCAATGCTCTTTGCAGTAATTACCATATCACCTGTATATGCATATTGCATATAATACTTGTTGTTCTAGATCTAGCAATATTTGCGATTTGTGGCTATGTTAAATAGCAATGAACTGAGACAGTCTCCTTGCGGTCCACCAATTGTGTCCGCTTTTGACTTCCGTATGTTATCATCTATGATCACGAAGTTTGCGTGCATTATGTTCTGTAGCACTGGTAGCAGACATTTTTCATATTTTCTTCTAGTTTCTGTAATAATTTTCATCTGTTTATCCTGTCAAAAGCTTTGCAATAGTCAATAAACATTGCATAAAGTTTTCCTCCTAGTTTGCGAAGTGCATTCGTGATAGAATTCAAGAGATTCTGTGCAGCAGGGATGGTTAAGCACACTTTTCGTAAACCCAGCTGATTCTCAGGTAATTTATCTTCCATGGTTTTAGTAATTAGTTTCATTAGTATTTTCGTGAAGTTTCGTGAAGCTGTTTTGCAATGCAATGCCATGCCTCTGTAGGAGTCTGTGATTGGTGTCACCTTTACTTTTGTACAGGATTTTCACTGTGGCTTCTTTTCATATTTCAAGGATTTTTCCCATTTCTATGCATTTGTTGAATAGTAATACCCAAGTATCGTTCAGCAAGTTTACGGAGACTTTTCATTGTTCGCTATAAATGTTGTTTGGTCCATCGGCTTTGTATTTTAATTTTTTCAAGGTGTTGGCTACTTCTCTGCTCGTGATTGAAGGGGGGGGGGGAATCTCTTGTTATTCTATCCTGAGGCTCTTCAAAAGCACGAGTTTATTTTGCTTGTTGAGAAGTTTTACGAAGTGGTTTTCCAAAAAACTCATGTTTATGTAGTTTGCAAATATGGATCTCCTCGGTTTCAGTGCAATGTGTGGATTTTTAAGAGCTGCTTCTGCAATCCATCTCATCCATCTTCAATATATTCTTTCTTTTCCACGAGGAGGTGTTTATGGTTAGTTCTTGCTCTCTTATATTCATAGTGTGGGCTTCTGTCTTATCAGTTGTACTTCCCCTTACTTTCAGACTTCTAGCCTCATGCAAGAGCTTGAGTAAAAATCTTTCTTTATAACAATCTGCATTGACCCATATTTGTGCTTTCTTCCTGTGGGAAGAACATGTAGTTTGAGCTTTATAGATTACCTGCGTAATGGCATAGGCTGCTTCATCTATTTTGCATTATGTGATGCATTTCTTTATTCTTAGTATCTAAGTTGCCGTTCTCAGAAGTGCTTCTTGGTTCAAGGATTTTTCTTTTTTTAGGTTCTTCTTCAGTTTTTGGTTGTTAAATACCCAAGGGATGTTGAGGATTGTGTGTACAGGATGATGTTTTTTAATAGGTGTTGTTGCTGATCGTATTATTATATTCTTGTGGATAGTTTTCATCTCATTAGTATTAAAAATTAAATCTGTTGTGCTTGTTCCATTCTATGCTGCGTATGTTGCTTCTGATCTTTCATTTAGCATGTACATGCCTGTTTCTATTATGTAGTCTAATAGCAGATTTGTTTTCAGGTTTACTTTTTCAATTCTATAATTGAAGTCTCTGCTAGTATAACGGGATAATCTTTATCTACATAGACAAAGCCTTCACCAATGACATCTATTATGTAATCCACTCTGCACGCTGGTTGGAAGTAGCTCACTGAAATAATCATTACCTTCACTTGAATACTACCTTCACTAGGTTAGTATTCTTGAAAATAACTAGCCCAGGAGCTAGATGAGGATTTATTAGACTGAGATACCTCCAATAGGCCTTCTGCTTTACCCTTGTGCGAAAGAGTGATAGGCATAGTTCTTTGGGATGGACAGTTCTCTTGTTAGAAATGTCGCTGCCAATGCAATTACATCTGGCATATTTCTTGGTATACATGCTAGTCCCTCTACATTCCACAACAGTATCCTGAATGGTGTTTTTGGTCCATTGTAACTCTTGCTGTCCGTGGGCTTGCATTGCATTATTTGAGTGTTAAACAAGGTTTATTCCTTCCTGTCTATTAGCATTACATCCGGGGAAGCGAAGGGTCCATACTATTACGCCTTGTGGCCAGAAAGAGGGGTCTTCTGTAGTTGTTGTTGTTTTGTTTTTTTTAATAGTCCACAGTACCCTATTTCTCTATCACTGTCTTGTCATAAATTATTGTCTTTGATTTTTGTCAGCATTTTGTTCTGTTTCTCTACTTTTTGCTCAATTTGTTCTAATTTTTCTTACGTTTCTTGGTGGTTTTGATTTGTTAGTTATGTATTCTATAATGCTATTTATCTTTTGAGTCATATCCGCTATTTTATTTCTCTGTTCTTCTATGAAAAACATCTTTGGTTTGCATTCTTTGCATAACCAGAGAAGTGTATACTCCCTCTTTTTATGATTCCAAATTTTCCTTTCTTTATTACGCTCCATTCTCTACGAAACCAGCGATTAAATATTCAGTCACATTTTATCCCATCTTTGTCTCCAAAATTGTTTTTACGTTTCCCATATATTGCATTAGAAGGGCTGCCTCTCTTTTGTTCCTCACTTGCTAGCATTTTCTTTGCTAGTAGTGCTGCCCTGCCTATTGGATATTTTCTTGCCCTTGGATAACTCCCTGTAGGTGTCTGGATTGTACTCACGACGAGTATTACTGTATATGCGTTTACAATTGTCCTGAACTCTTAGCACAGTTAACACTTTAAAACATTTAAAATTTTTGATGCACTTAAGTGTGTTTCCTCTTAGCTGTGTGAAATCTTACTGTAGCTTTACTCTCACAGATGTAGGAGATGCCACTAATTATTCTCCTCCTCATCTGACACTTATCTCGCCTACAATTATCACTTTTGGAACTTTCACTTTACAAATTCACACGCTCGCACTCATCGTTGTACTTTGTTCAATTGGATTATCCTTTGTTTCTTTTGAAAAGTAGTATAGAGATTCACTTCTCAGTCTTCATTCATGAAATTACAATGATTTGCAGGTCTAAAATTAGTGTATGAAAATTTGCAATTATGATATAACACAGGTAATTAAACACAGATTTAAGGTGAATTATTAGCGATCAACTGAAGTGTGATTATCCAATTTGGAGCTTTGTTTTTTTTACAACTTGAGTTTTTGATTTTGAAATTCTGATTTGGATAACTGTATTCCAGCTGATTGAAAGTGAGTTTGTTCTACATTTAAATTAGTGTAGACCTGCATAAAATATTGAAGTACACCTCTCAGTTTGAGCCAAAGTTTTATCACTATAACTTAATATTAAATAATTCTAGAACAAATGAATTTATTGAATATAATTTACTAATTCATAAACTAGAGGCCATTGGGATAAGGGGTAAACTACTAGCTTGGATCTGAGAATATCTTTCTGACAGATCGTTCAGAGTTCGCATTTGCGACAGCTTATCAACATCCGGAACAGTCACAAGTGGAGTACCTCAAGGATCAGTTCTGGAACCGCTACTGTTCATCTTATATACTAGTGACCTTGGAAATGAGATTGTATCAAAATGGAATTGTTACGCAGATGATACGAAACTGTTTGCAAACCCATTAACTGATTATCAAACCTTACCCATTAACTGATTATCAAACCTTAAAGGTCTTGACCGAAATGGAAAACTGGTCAAAGGCATGGCTGCTTCCGCTGAATTCTAAAAAATGCAAAATCCTCCATATTGGTAAGAAAAATCCTAGACTACCCTACACTATCGCAGATCACACCTTGGACATCACAGTACTACAAAACGATCTGGGCGTACTAATTTCTCATGATCTGAAATGGGAATGTCAAGTTGCAGCAGTTGCCAGTCGAGCAAACGGCGCTCTGTATATGATGAGAAAGGCATTCTCCAAATTACACAGCCCCATAGTTGGGAAAATTTACATGACATATGTTCGACCCATATTGGAGTATGCTAATGTAGATTGGTCCCCATAGTATAAAAAAGACAAACAATGTCTGGAAAAAAATACAAAAACTAGTAACTTAGATACCAAGAGAAAATCGCCTTGATTCCAATTACCAGGAAAGATGTCAATGTCCTTATTGTCATTCGAACAGAGAAGAACTAGGACTGATCTTGTAGAAACATAAAATTTTGAATGGACTATACAAAATCTCATGACAAGAATTCCTCTTTACAAGATCTACTGATAGACTACTTTCAACACTAGATAAAATTGAGAAAAGAGAAAACAAGGTCTGGACAAAGAGCACATTTTATCACCAATAGAATAGTCAACACGTGGAATAAACTACCAGCGGAATGCATCGGAAAGGAAGTGCGTTTAAAAATAACCTGGATAAAATTGAGTTATAAATAGTATATAGATAGTATATAAATAAATAAAATAGTATATAAATAGTGATGAATGATATTATGATGTGATATAAGAAATATTTGCGATAAACTATTATGTTATATTTGATAAGATGTGTAAATGAGCTATATATTATGATTATAATGATATGTGACCTTAGTATTGTACAAAATAGAAACACTGTATTATGCAATAGATTAGATATGTGTATAACAGCTTGTTGCTGCTACCATTATTCAATAAATAAATGAATAAAAATAATTATTCGATCTTAACATGGTAGTTGGTGGAAATAGTCCAGTCAACAAGTCATAAAAGAAGGTTATAGAGTTTGTGGAAAACTCTGAGACTCAATCTCCACCCATGTTCGAAGAACAGGTGTAGTTGAAGTGCTGGGTTTTGAGACGGCGGCGTACTTATTTCCCGGTGAGTCAGCAGAGGCGGCCGGGGCGCGCCTCTGTCGGGACAATAGAGCTGCATGCCTCCGCGTCCCCGACGCGCTCTACACCCTCGCAGGTAGCGAAAAATGCACATTTCGAGTCCTCTTTGCAGCAACGTTGTATTTACTAAAATGTTGAAATACCCGTCGCACCCTGACATCGCGTCCCATTACAGTATCTGGAAGTCTAGTTTTATTACCCACAAATTTACTATCCACAAATTCGGGTAGCCGTTCAGATGTAACAGCAGACTCAATGCTAAGTGCAATGCCCAAGCTTTTTGAAAGTGTTAACCGGGAAACTATAAAATTGTCACGTATATTGTTAAATGAACAACGTGAGTTTTGGTGCAAGCGATCTATCACAAAAATCTTCTATCTATTCAACATGTAGTTCATGAAAACTTCAATGATAATGGGCAAACAGGTACTGTTTTTACTCACTTTTCAAAGTCTTTTGATATTGTTTGCCACTGTTAGCGACATTTCAGTACTTCTTTTCAGCGGTGACATCGGAAATTGCCTTTAATGTAAATGTTTATTATATGCGGATGGTCTTTTTAAATTATTTATGCATATTAAAACTATATCCAATTGTTTACAACTCCAGGATTATAAGGATGCGATTACACAATGGTACAACAAAAATTGTTTATCTCTAAGCGTTGATAAATGTAAAGGTATGCGTTACGATGCATCTATCTCCATCGTGCTTTAATTATGAGATAAATGGTTTACACTTTAAGACAGTATTGCAGTTCGAAGATTTGGGTGTCATATTTGATCCTAAATTGAAATTTAAAAAACGCGTGAAATACCTTCGGATACCCTTTCACTTTTAGCGACCAACGGCAGCGTGCCTTCAGATTTCGGAGTGAGAGAATGTGGCTAATTTCAGTTGGGATCAAGAGAGTACATAGTCTGTCCTTGATTCTTTAACATACTGCAGCCACTGCACTGGAAAGAGTAAACGCCTTTTTCTTGACAAATTGTGGTCACATTTACTCGGCCTTTTTTTTGTCATTTTAAGACAATGTTTTATTCTTTATTTATTTTCAAAAAATAATTTACTGTTTCATTGGTATTTGTAATATTTAGTATATATTATTTGAATTATTTTATTTGCTTAATAATCTTATTACATATCTTACATTATTGTCATAAATAATGAAGAGCTTGGCAGAAATGTTTCACATTTCGTTTTGATTTCTTTCTGAGCCGTCTTTCATCACATAATTGTTACGTTGCTGTCAATCGAGAATTGTCGTAACTTACCCCCCACATCTTCAGTATTAGTTTTGTTTCCTAAGCATGCAGAACAGAATCGCCTAAAAAGACGTTTTGTTTAACACCGTCGTCGCGCGAAAAGATTCTGGGGTGTGAGCCGGTTTACCTGGTCATCTAAACTCTTGAATGGGAAAAACACAAAAGCAGGAAACTTGCTGGAGCTTATTACCTGACGGTCGCCTCCGCCGGGGCCCTCTTTTTTTTCGGGGGCGCCGCCTCTGCCGTCTCGTGCCAGGCATGGCTGTCTTGAAAGGTGGCAAAGACACGCTGTTGCCAAATTACCTAAACAAGAAATGCCTATCTTCGTTTTCCTTTCTCTATGTCTATTTTTTTCTTCTGGTATACAAAATGAGATAATGTCGATTTTTCTATTCCTGATGAAAATAATTTTACCATACAGTTCAGCCGTTCATTTGCGTTCCCCACTTTTTTCCTCACAACGGAAACATTTTTTGAGGAGCAGCATTCCCCAATCTGGCAACTCTGGCCGCATGCGTCCGGCCTGTCGAGGTGGGTCGGTCTACGTCCCGACAGGGGGATGCAGGGAGGGTTTTAATTCCTTTCATTTACCAGTCATCTTTATTTTCCCAATCGTTCATTCTCATTCTTTGATACCATCCTGGCTTTTTTTTTCTACCCATATTACTTCACTGCCCCCTCTCCTGTATGCTGAACACCCACCCATGCGTTTGCCGTGCATGACGACCCGTCTCGGAGGGGATTGTGACCGGGCAGTGGAGGGAACTGTTTCCCAACTACACCTTATGCTACTTTCTACTTTGCACTAAGGGATACGTTTACATATATTGGAGAACATTCTTTGTAGGTTTCCAACACACTCGTTTTAGCCTCGGCCTCTGGACGGGAGCAGAGTTGCTCCCGATCAATCGGCTCGGTCTAGGTCTGTGACTGAACTTCAGGGTGAGTTGGAGAGTTATGGCGTCCCCTAGCCAGTGTGTAGAGTAAACCATGTCACTCCCTGCTACATCCTCAGGGCAACTCTGGTACTCCAGCGGAGTGTCCCCTTGTTGGGCTCCACGGTGTGTGGGGACCACGGGGATGAATTAAATCCCTTGCCTCCCGAAATTAAAAAGCGATCTGGAAAGCTTTTTCTGCAAAGAAAGTGATATGCCAATGACATGCAACGAAGAAGAGAAAACAATGAAAAGTGTTGTTAGCTCAATAAAACTCGCAATGGCTGTAGAGAAATTAGAAAAGTTGCAGGCAGTCGTTCGCCAACGCACTGGAACCATCCTTTTCGAATGTCGGTCAGAAAGATTGACAGTTTCAAAATTGAAGGAAGTAGCCGACCTTCGGGTTCAAGTGTCAACCCACACTACGTTAAACTTATGTAAGGGTGTAGTCAATCATGGATGATTTCGCTACCGCAACCAATGAAGACCTGAAAACCTTCTTGTCTGAGGGAGTTACTGACATCCATGGGATTCTGCGGACGGTGAACGGTGAGCGCACCCCCACCTCAACGTTGATCCTCACATTCAACCGCCACGCTCTTCTGGAAAGGATCTCATGCGGGTGGTATAATCTGCGCATGCGGCGGTACGTGCCGAACCCACTGCGGTGCTTTGTCAGAGGTTCGGCCATACCCGGCAACCCTGCATGAATAGCGCTGTCTGCGCCAAAGGGTACAACTCTGAAGTCAAATCCAGCCCCAAATGTGTAAACTGCACAGGAGGCCGCCTGTCAAACTAATAAATGATTTTTTTTAAAAGAAAGATACAAAAAATTCTAGTATCAGTGTCGTGCCGTGAAGCACGTCGGCGATTCCTTACAAGAAATCCGATGACCCTGCAGGAGTTTCAGCATGCTCGCTAACGAAATAAAAATATGCAAACACCACTTCTGGTTGCAAAATGCGACAGACAGCTGTGTGGCGGTTCAATAATTATTACACTCCACTTGACTTCGATGACTTTTTTTGCTATGACGTCTCTGAGTGAATTTTGACAGTATGCCAATTGGTCGTCCCGGACCACGCGCATATGCACCTGCACTTAGCGAGGCTCAATATCATGTATCCCCTTGTAAGTGCATGTGACTCCTTTTTGAGCAGATCAGCCTTAAGCTGAATCCGGGTTTTATCCCCCAAGGTGCTAGTCTTGGGGGGATGGAAGAGTGCAACATGTCGATATTTTCAAACATCGATGTTTTTGTAGAAACATTGATGTATTGACATGGATGTTTTGTGATCAATGTTAAGTATAATGGTATGGCATGGTCATCAATGGCAATGAACATTTGTTTCTACCGTTGGACAGAAAATTCTCTTCGAATTTGTAATCCAAGAGAGCATCACAAAATGACACATTGAATTCAATGTGGTACATTGTTTGAGATGCCACATTGGTATGGCATACAACCATACTTTTACTATCTAATGAACAAAATACAAGAATTAACTTTGTACCCATTTCCCAAGGGCATGGATGTTTGTTTTGTTTTGACACCTTCAAAAAATTGTGCTGTGCAACACCAACATCTCCAAGCTGTCAAACTTGCATTTCCCTATTATTCATAACACGTGCTAACTTTGCAATGTTTTTGCTTTGAAATGATCATTGGTGTTATTTTTTGCTGGATATGGGCCAATCTGTACACTTCAGCATTACCCTCTAAGGAATCGAGCATGATGGTGCAACTAGGTGGATTTTCATCTGCCTTGATGAAACTTTATTACAATTTTTGCATTCTGTCAATTTTTGTAAATTTTTGTTCTTGACATTTATTATCTCTTGTCGTTTTCCAGGTTATGTCAAGATTATATTTAGATACAGCAACTTTACTTTGGAATGGAAATGGTATTGCTGGCAAAGAATTTATACAGAAGTTCTTCGAAAATCTTCCATCAACGGATCACGTTGTGTCTTCTATAGATTCCCAACCATTAACTACAGGTAGTTTTATTTATTTTTCAGAACCAGTGGATGCACAAATTTTACAATTATTTGCAATGAAATTCTCAAATTATTAACTGCATTATAATGTATTGTAGTCTTGTAATGGAATCTGCATTGAAAGACTACGTTTTTAAATTCTTGGAAGTTTGTGGTCCATTGATTTTTGAGTCGAGTATCAAATTATAATTTTCAGTTAAATCAGCTTTAATTTTATTCAACTTCAAAAACTGTTAAAAACTATTTGTAATGTTTGGAAAGAAGATACATTTATTGTCCAAAAGCAAAGCAGAGCTAAGGCTTTTTCAGCATTTGCACAATGCTTTAAGCGAAACTAAGAATAGGGTCCGTGCAAGTAATTTACCCATAAGTTGTTTACAGTACTTACTATTGGCTGACTTATGTTCGCGGTCCTGGTGAAAGAGAATAGTTGTGTCAATGCGCAGTCTAATATTTTTATTACATTATTTTAAGGTTATTACTTAAATTTTAAGGTAGTTGCGTAAAATTGGCGGTAGTTGCGTAAAATTGGAGTCGTAAACTAACACGTTACGCGATAATGTATAACATTGTTAATGAATTTGAAAATGCGCGCCTAGTATTAACTGTACCGCCGCAAGCAGCTATCAACTCTGACTGATGACGCGGCCCCTTTAAATTGAAATCAATATTTTAATTTCGGGTGGTATTTTACATGAAGCCTCTGAGACATTTTAAAAATAAAAAAAGGCATTAACGTTTTTTATTAAATTTTGTTGTTAGTTAGTATGAATGACATTTACAAGATATGTACAGATCTAATTTTCGTTGAAAACCCTGCTTTTTCGACAGTTGCAAAAATTCATACTTTTTGGGGGTCTTCCTATAACTAAAATATTATAGATTTTTTCCCTTAATGAAATATGTTCCTCAAAGATAGGTTTTGAAATAAGGTCGTGTACAATTTTTCCAAATTTTGAGTATTTTCCCCGTAACTTTGTGATATACATACAATTTTTACTTTCTCGCTACCGCGGTCGAGAGAAAGTTATGTAATGCCAATAAACGGCCAATTTTCGGCAGAAAAAACTTTTATTATAGATTTACGATAACGAAGAAGTGGATAAATCCTTATACTAAATTTAGAAAAAATCCTCTAACACGGATTTGGTGCATCCAAAATCAAGGTTTTGTAGGTCCTTGACACCGAAAAATTGATTGACGGTAAAACGTCTGTGTACAACGCTACCGGCTAAACCGTTCAGCCGAGTTTTTCCAAATTGATGATATTCCCCAATCAATCTACCTAATGTCGCGGCCCCTTGAACTTGAAACCCATATTTTAATTTATGGGATACTTTTCACGAAGCCCCCGAAACATTTGCAAAAAAATATCGCAATGGTTTTTTATTAATTTTATTTTTGAATAGTGTGAAGGCCGTTTAAGACTGGTGCAAGTCTCATTTTCGTTTAAAACAGATTTTTCAAATATTGAAAAACGTGGAAAAAAAATTGGCTTGTATTAATGATAAGAGATTTTTCCCTTAATAAAATCGGCTTCTTAAAGATAGTTTTAAAAAAGTCGTAAAATGTTTGGAAAATTTCAGTAGTTTCGTGCAATTTTGCATGAAATGGGCAATTTTTAATTTTTGTTTTAACAATATTTTTCTCGAAAACGGCTCTATTGTTTTTTATGAAATTTAGATGGTGGATAGTCTGAAAGACGTTTAAGAGAATGGTGCAGGTCTCATGTTAGTTGACAAGCCTAATTTTTGGAAAATGGAAAAAGAAATCAAATTTGTTTTGGGCGTTTTCGTAAAAGTACAATAATGAAGATTTGTTTTCTTAACCTTCGGTGGGCGCGCCTTTCATACTCACAGAAGCGGGCGCGTAGGGGCACTGCATGCTCCCTCATAACTTCTATTATTTAATTAAAGAAGGAAGAATAAAAACTCATAACTATTCATGTTAATAAATTATACAAACCACAGAAATGTCGTAGTTTTAGGTATAGAATAATATATAACTTACAGTTTAGAGAACCTAATAAAACAAAATATAACCAAGAAAATAAAAATTAAATTAACTATATAATCATTATTCCATAGACAAAATAATTAAATGAAGCGGTCTAGTGTTCTTAAATATTAGAAAAACATCAATTGGTTTTCATCAAGCGGTTTCCAGTACCTCAGGAGCATACCTGATTTGCTTCTTCTGTTGCACTAGTTTCAGCCTTTCAGGAAAAAGGAAACAAAAATAAGGCTACAAGTAATGAGAAAACAATCAACAAATAGCAACTTAGAACATTTTCGATTTTGCATAACGTAATCGAAAATACAAGTAAACGAACAAACTGAATAAGATGTTCGTTTGCATTGCTGAAAATACTTGTGGGTGCGGTAGAGCACGGAATGCTGTAGTCAAAACTTTTTATCTGAAAATCTCCTTTTCGACTGATAGGGAGCTGCTAATGCAGACTTTCATTTTAATTATAATTTAATTCATTTAATTATAATTATTTTTGAAAATAAATCTGTACAAACTTTTATTTAATGTACAATAATTTGAGATGCACTTTTGAGCCACTCTGGTTATAAAGTTGCGACGTTCCTATTGTTAGATTGCTATACAGCGTGAAGTTCACAGAATAAATTCATATTGTCAGGCGGTGTTACTATAGAAGAGTGTTTTTTTGTGAAAGAAGCTGGAATCGACAACCAGTACATAGTGAATGTAAATAGTGAATTTAAATTTTGTATTTCTGATCAATCAAAAAACAAACGTTGGGCTGAACTGAAAAAAATGTATTTCTGGTGTTAATAAAAGGAAAGGGAAAATGAGCTTGGAGGCTGTCATTCGAATCTTGAAAAGAAATATTACTTTTAATATTATATAATCATTAATTATATTGTATTTTATTGTATTGATTAATTAAATTGTATTGATATCAGAAGGCTGTAATGACGGTAGGGTCGCATTTTTATAAACTAGTAATTTTATTTATACGCATCTCGCGTCGTGAATGCACTGAATTCATTAGCAGAAAACTGTTTTCGTTTATACGTTTGAATAAGTAAAGTATGTTTCGCGCTTAATTTCGTTAAGGAGTATTCAAATGGTATGTGAAGTGTCAGAAATTTTCATATTACAATATTACGCAACGATTAACAAGATCATAAAGTTCGTGCTGTTGAAGCACCACCAGTTTAATCATCCTTCAATACTGAGTTCGATATACGTTGCCAGGGTGTCCAGCGAACCTGAAATCATTAAAAACTGAAAGAAAAAACAGCACAGGGAATTTGATTTGAAAACTGGGATATTTCTTTATTTTCAGATTTAACCCCATTATTTAGCACATTTACATATATCATCGTATTCAGTAGTGTTTGTTTCAGCTCGGTACATGATAATGAGGGGGGAAAATCGAAATATGTATGAGAAGTGTCCCATGTATGTATGATAATTGCTCAGTCCTTGACTCGCACTCAACTTCAAACACTTCAAACAACGCGTGTGTAAGTGCAACATGTGTACTGTATGCTGCGGATATCAAAATTCTATTGCAATCGCCAACTACAAAATCAAATCCTGTAGCACAAAAGCTTAAAGCTATCAAGTACTGCTCCTTTGGCATAAGAGGCTTATTGCTATTTGAAGAGTATTCCAGGTGGTTCTATTTCTTCTAAAATCCTCAGGGTTGCCTGAATAGGGAGTTTTCTCCCTCAAATGAGGATTTTTTCGATGAGGGGAAAGAATAGGAGCATACATGGACGGGGAAGTGTTTGGGGATTTTTTGTGGAAATTATTTTCATGCAAAGTCGAGATTATTATTCTCTCAGTTATTACTAAGAAAAAATAAACAATAGTCATTCTCCCTCATTTTTATATATCTAATATACAAAACTAAACAACAACCGTAGAGAAAGAAAAACGCGTGAAAAACGAAGATGGACTAGGGCTTCTAGTGGCTCGATGATTGGTGTATTTAAATTATTTTAATTTAGGAGGACAGCCAGTGGAATCGCCAGGGACAGTTCATGTCGTTTGTCATAATTTGTAGAATATTATTCGTTTTGAAGTTGGGAGTTTTGTTTCATTAGAGTGGTTACATTGGTCGACAGTGATTTTGTCACATGGCGAATTGAAGTTGTTTCTATTATGTACTTAAGCCTAGTACCACCACAAATATTGCCCACCGGGCGCAGTTTTCGTGTAATCGCACTTACGTTAAAACTATATATAATACCGGACAATTGGAATTCACATTGTTAACATTGGAATGAATCTTCTGGTAGTTGAGGAACCGGTTTGTTTCCCAACTACTCCTTGTGCTACTCTGTTTTGCACGTAGGGATACGTTATTTACGTATTTTGGGGAACATTCCTCGTATGTTTTCAACACACTCGCCGTTTGTCTCGGACTCTTCTAGACGGGCGGTCGCGAGTTAACCCACTCCCTAACAGACGGCTCGGACCAGGTCTTGTACTGAACTCCAGGGTGAGCGGGGGATCCACGTCGCTGCGGCATCTATTATATCTTCGTGTCAACCCTGGCATCCCAGTGGGTGTCCCTTACTTAAACACCATGGTAATAGAGGTGCACGGAGACAAATCCGCTTCAATTCTGTGGAGCATAAAACAAACCCCTTGTCCTCTTCCGGAAGGAAGAGGCGATAATTTGAGAGAATGGTGAATTTCAGTAGCTTCTTCCTTAGGGAAGAAGTATTTGAAGGAAGTATCCCTTAGGGAAGATGTATTGTTTATGGGTCTGCGTCTCCATCGACCGTCTGGTCATTGAATACCACACACAATGGCGTTATACAGATCAGCACAAGGCCTACAGCCGAGTCGCATTGAATCTTGGCCGTAACTGGTGAACCATCCCTGAGCCGAAGGCGAGATATTGTAATAGACTCCTACGGTGCGAAAGTATCAGCTGTAAATACTCCTTCGCGCTAAACAAGCCTTTATCTAAATCACGGGACATCGTACGCACTCAGACTATCGTTTCCGTATCCTCCGACTATCCCTCTGTACACGCTTTTGAAGGAACTCGATATAAACCTCCCCATCCCCACAAATAAAAAATCACCTAATTTACACGTTTCGACATCTTTTTTTATTCCTCAGGTAATTTTTCTTTCTGAACAAATATATTCATTTCTTTTGTAAATAATAATTAACAACTTTCTTGAGTGTTTCTATGCTTCTGCAATACAAATTTTTGCCTTGAAAGTATATTTTTAAATCAACTTTCGAGCGCTTATTGCGGCTCAACCATTCGGAATATCCCAGTAATTTATTAGACAAAATATGCATAAAATTGTCTTACGAGCTTATTTTCGAAATTTCGACGATTCCACTCAGCACACCCGTTATATATAATGGTGTCCACGTTTAATTTGTTTCATTCACACTTTGCATAAAAAAAATATATTTCAGTGTCGCACTGCTACAGTGCATGCTGCTGTTACAATTTTTAACGGGCACCAGTGACCGCTGTTGAAGCGCCCTTGAACATTAATCATCAATGCTCTCAAGAGGGCCTTGGTATGTTGCACACTCTCACAAGAGTTTTACGAGTCGTAGATGGCAGTGGTCCGGTCGGTCAAAATATTAAAGTAATATTTTGATAAACATCAAACAAAAAGATGTTGGTGAAACGTGAATAAAACGTTAAACGTGAGTTTGGAGAGCGTATGAAAATCAATTTAGATTTTTTTCTCGTTTATGGATGCCACATATTACTAGGTTAATGATTACAGTTAACATATGGGAAAACTGTTTAAACTGTTGTCTTCATATTCAATGTAATCATTGGATAGTCACAGCTCGAGACTATATCTGTAGATTCATTAAATCATAGGACATAGTCCTTTTCTTAAATATTATGTTATATTATTCAGAAAGTTTAGAAACATTTTAATAATTTAAAAATTAAACCTAATTGAAACCGTGTTAATCATAAAAGCAATGTTTTGAAAAAAATTCTGAAATCTCGTTGCAGAATTTAAATCGGTGAGGAAACTTTAGGTTCCTAAATACTATTACTGGACAACTTTTTTTTTACATTGTATTGCAAAATATATTATTTAATCTGCAAATTCTAAAAATGATGCAATCTGGGATGTTTTTAGCAAATATGAAGATTTAATCATTACAAAAATTCATTATCGGATTATCATTCCGAAGTATTATTAAAAATGAAAATCTTAGTTATTAAGCGTGCTTCCCAGGTATGCCATGTAATCTACCATTATTTAAATTTGTGAGAATTGATTAGTAGGCCTATCTCCAGCAGAAAATTCATTTTAAAAAAAAATTCCTACTGGAGTGTTGAAAACTTTTCTTCACGGTAGGACCAACATTTTCCAAACCGATCCAAGGAATACTGTACTACTAGCCTCGCTTTGGCATCAGCCCCGATATCGACTTTCCGGATAAAAAAAATAATTTCTTAAACTTTCCAAAACTCATGGATATTAATTAGTAGCATATACTTCCTAGAAAAACAAAAATAGTTTTCTTTAAAGCTCGTTTTGGTTCAAAATTCGACACTAGTACCACATTGCAAAAGAAAAGTGAGTTACATAGTACTGTTAAGTAATATACAGAAAAATTATGTGCGAAACAGCCTGGAATTTATATTCTCAGACTGGGAAAAAAGCTTTGAATTCAAAAGAGTGCTGTTCACCCTGGTTGCATAACTTATCATGGATTGAGAGGACCATGATTACGAAGGAAATAAATGTTTAATGATACATTGTCCCTTACGGAGGGAAACATGAAAAGACAAACCGAGCCAAGTTAACATATAGTTAATTAGTAAATAAATAAACCCGAATCAATAAAATTAGGTAAAATAAAACTGTACCACGGGCGTTAACTGGTTCTAATGACTTTGGACCACAAAACGCACTCCGGCGTTTTGTCGCAGTTAGATCATTAGAACCATTTTAACTGTGGCTCGGAAGTTAATGCTGTATCAAAAGAAGAAATGCGAATGCAAAATGCTATAACATTAGTCAAATATGCGCCAGAAGTAATGAAATATGCTCTAACTGTTAAGTTTTGTGTACTCGTGAACAGTTACAAAACTTTTAATTTTAACGATTATTTGCAAATTTGTCTCTTCTTAGGGGAAGTTCAGGTGGTATCGGCCACCGTAGCTTTAAACATTTTTGTTAAGGTTAGTTAAAATTATTCGTGAAATACAGAATATGAAACTTCAAACTGTCACACGCTCTATCAAAACTGGTTTGAAAGGAAAATATGTTTATCTGGAAATAGTAAAAATCGTTGACAATTTACATGTCGGAAAAGTCAATGGTGACTACTAAAGAAATAAGGATAAAATAATTTTAATGGTGTTTATCACACCTATTCGCCAAAGATACGCTCCCTATTGAAACAAATATATAGCATAATACAAAGAAAAAATGACTATTTGGTTACATCGGAAGAGAACATTTCTTCAATTTAAAAAAATTAACATTGCGTGAGTCTTGAAAAATAATGAACTTTTATGTTCAGTTTATAGCTTTACAAGTATCATTTTGAGGGGTTTCATGAGCGTCCTGTCTAGCGGTTGGAGACTGTGAAACGCATTAGGGTGAGGGTATGCTTGGAACGTGAATGTGATGTTCCTTGGCATAAAGGATCACATATTGGGCTTCGCTCATATCTCACCACCTTTTGCCAGTAGTTTTACCCGATCGCCTAGAAGAGATGCAGTGACTGTCCGGCACAGTTTATACACACACACACACATAAACTTGTTCTAAGGGAAGTTTCAAAGCTCCAAAGGTATATTCGTACTTTGGCCAACATAAAAAATGTGTCGCTATAACCAAACTGCTTGATGACTCGCCCAGTATGGCGTTTGCAAAGCTAATTCGTTTCCAGGAGCATACTGACAGTGTGCCCTAAAGCACTTTTGTCCGATACGACCGGACCTTCTATTATTCCAGCTATACTTTTTTTAAAGAAACGTTATTTTGTCTGTATAAGCGTCACAGTAATCAATTCCAATGACTGAAATTCTTTGTCAAAAAGATAATTTATCTCATCAGACAAATAGTACCAGGGCCAAGACATATTCTAAAAGTTCATTCATACTGTTGCAACGGATGAAAGACATTACCACGATATCTCTTTAAAGAGCTTTCTCATTCGCATTTGTAACGTACACTTTTCGGTTTGAGGAGACAAATACGCATATTAATTACGATTCCAAAAACAATATGCCACTTTACGAACAAAAAAATAATTAAATATAATGAAAATATGATGCATTCACACAAAATGCTTAAATATGCTTTATAAAACCACCAAATTTCTTTTAGTTTGTTTTTCTGAACATTTGATAATTAGCTTATTATAAAGCTCATAATTATTTTTTTTTTAACTTCAGGGCCCATGCCCTTATTACACGAAAATTGGTACATAAATAACTATTAACCACTCATTCTTGATTGTGTTTTTAAGGTATCATACACTTGAGTTCTCCCAAATTTAAATTTCTTTATAAAAATTTTGACAAAAGTGTTGCTTTGTTCGTGTTCAATTGGTCTAGTTTCTTACCAAGAGTTAACGTCTTCAATTTGCTGCCTGACAGAAACACTTATTAATGCATCTGCAACTCGACGAACTGAACAATATAATTCGTCTAGAACTAATGAATCCAAAGCACACATTACAATAACTGGAAGGATCACTCTTCACATCTCTCCTTCCTTCACACGGACTTGGAAGGCCAGTGCTATTACAAACAAACAGAGGTTTTCGCCCGAGTAGCGTGGGAAATACGACGTTCGGCGAGGGAAACTGAGAAAGTGATTGGGCGACCACAGTTCTTAGTCTCTTGTGGTACGATGTCGTCACACTTAGAAGTCAATGATTAATTTTAAAACTATTCGTTTTCCGTCTTATCCAGAATTTTTAATACTGTCTAACTAAAAGTTCCTCTCCGTGTCTGCGTTATGCAGATTTCTGCCTTATCCAATATACTTCGAAAATATCGGAGATTTTTACCGGCTAAGGTAGGTTTCCTCCTTATCCAGTTTCCACCTTAGATAGCTTTTACTGTATTATAAAATTTACAAGTGAACAATAATATTGTACGAATTTCGAATCGGAGAGAATTGCAAATCTCACATGACCATTTTTTGATTTCAGGTACCACCTGCCACTTTCCTTTGACAATTGTGGTGTCAGTTTCTGGCTTCATTGCATTTTGTCAGGAACAACCTCAAGCATTCCAGCAACAATTATTAATTACTGCTGAAGGTGATAAGTGGAAAATTGTGTCGGATTGTTTTAGATTTCAAGAGCCGTGATGTTTTCATATCACAGAATTGTATATACTGATCCTGAGTGAATGTGATATTGTATTTAATAATTTGATCTGTAATTTAATGTGTAACAGTTAAAATGTCCATGCACCTTTTTTAAATTGAAATCACATGACATTTAAGGTGTATGAAATAGGTATTATAAAATAAAATTACCACAATTCTCAGTCTGGAAAAAAGAAAACCCATTATGAGGTCTATTTGTAACCGATATGGATTATTTCCTTTCCTTATTAAACTAGAAATGCTGCCCTACTGTACTGTAGGAGATGATTTTGATATATCTTATTTCTTGTTCACACATTTAAGGTTTAAGGGCACTCCAACAATTGAGGTCATTAGCGCCGTGTCAAATTATTTTAAGAGCAGTACGCTCTGTGGCAGTGCCAAACAAAAACCTTTTTTAATGCATAGTAAAATGTGAGTAAAACTGAAAATGAAGGTGTTCAATGTTTAAAAGGGTTTTGCAAAAAAGAGCTATTAAAATCTCCAACTAAATGCCAAATAATTGGCATAATGCTGTAAATGTCACTCGTGAAAAGCTTGCAGAGAGAAGATACACGTCCAAGTACTTCTGCTAGAGCTAACGAGGTGATGCCTTCGGAGGCTATCTCTTACCTTAGATCAGTGCAAGAGAGCATGCTCCACAAGATCCGTCTCGTAACTATTGCAAGTAGAGGGTGGGACACCAAGATGTCCGGGGAGAAATTCCAGTGACCGATCCGAAGACGTGTCAGAGTAGTCACCTAGAGTCTCGAGAAGAGGAAGACCTAGGTCTGATGGAATCCTTGATTCTAGTGAGTTTAAAAACAGAATTCTGCTTCTGCCATGCATTGAGAACAACGTTTGATAAACAGCTTGGTATCATTTGTGGGGACTGTGAGGATGACTTCAGTTTTCTTCGTGGAGAGTTTTGCTGCCTGGACAGCACTGTCATTTCCTATTATCCCAATGTGGCCAGGGATCCAACAAAAAATATTACGACGCACCAATAAATTATGAATTTGGTGTTGAATCTTCGTCAGGGGGTCGCAAGAAGAGAAGCAGGAAATGGTGGATTCTAGCGAGCTTTTTGAAGCACTGCAGCTCACTTCAGGCCAGGGAAGTTGACTCCCGAGAGAAAGGTCAGGATGGTTATGGAGATGAATCCTGCAGCAGTGCATGGAGTTTGTTTTTTAGGTGGAGAACTTTAATCTTTTTCCATCACTCCATTCCTGCAATTTGTTGAGGCAAAGTTGTAACTGCCTCTCAATCACTTGCCTGTTCTTGAAGGAGCAAAAAAATGCTGTCGTCAACGAAGAGCGATGCTTTCACTGACACGGATTATCGATGATAGACTATTATCTTTTCTAACTGATGACTGGGAGACACTCTGTCACCAAGACTGACACGGAAGTATCTTGACGATATGCTACCGGGCAAGGAAAGGGGCAGCCGGCCCCTAGGAGCCCAAGAATGTAAGGTGCGAAGAATGCCATACCTCCTAGTGGTGTCCTATGCTTTCTCTACATCGAAGAAAATTGCTACCAGGTGTTGAAGTAGCACGAAAGAAGTGGAGATCGTGTGACAAGGTGATCCATTGGTGACGGTCTTCCTAAAGCCACACTGGATGCAAGTATGTTTCTGGTGCAGGCGTATGTTCACCATCTGCTCAAAAAGCTTGTGAGCGGTAGGTTTTACGGGTTTGTCCTGTCCTTTCCTTTGGAAACTGGAATGGTAATTTCTTCGTGTTATGTCCTAGGAAAGGTATGCTCCATCCAAATCTTGTTGACGATACGAAGGAGGGAAAGACGTGCCTTTCCCAGTAGATGTTGCAGCGTTTGGTTATGTATCTGGTCTCGTCCCGAAGCAGAATCTTTTCCAAGGGCGAAGGCAAAGGAAAATTCATCCATGGAGAAAGGAACGTTATCTTCCTTCACACGACTTGAAAAGTCCAATCGTCCATTCTCTTCGTTTCAAGAAGATAGGGGAGTAGTGTAAGGAACTGCAGGATTTCTCGTAATGACAGGCAAATTCTTCAACTAAGTCTTCTGGAGATGTGAGATTTGCATTAATCAAGAGTCCTGGGGAAAGTCTTCATCCGATCTGTCGTACATATCGTCATACTAGTAAGGGGGTATGGCGAAAATAAAATGCCTTACGATATATACCATATCGGGGGTAATAACATTTGAAATTATTTCCAGAATTTTGTTAAATTGCAATTCCGTCTCACTTGATTTTCTTACGATTAGGGGAAGGTATTCTTAAATAACCTAAATGCTATCTATAAAAGCTTTTCTCATGATTGAAATTAATTTTTGGAAAAAATATATATTGATACAAAGGTTCAACACTGTTGTACTACAATACACAAATTATAATTTGTAGTTCGATCCTATTTTATTAATTAAGCTAATTTTTAACTATGTAATATGAATGTATGATGCACTGCGGCAATAAGGTTTACAAGAACTGAAAAAAAGGACTAAGAACAAAACACACGAAAATGCAAACCATGCAAATGTGAAAAATGTAGACTAAATTTAAAATCATTAAATTCTCTAAATTATAGTGTAAACAAATTAAAACTTAATTACTTGTAAAAAAACAAAAACCTAGCGAGTCCTTCAGAATAAAAAAAATCATATATTCTACTCTGTTGTGAGATAGATCGACACTAAATAACAAATGCTGTTGCAGACGAACTGATCCACCTGCCAGCGGTGGATTTGGATGCTTGAAGCAAGAACTGATTTCCTGATCATGTACAGTTTACAGGTGGTGAATTTTCATATTCGGTATCCCACAATTTCTTTCAGAAGGAGTACCTTTTTTATATCATTATGGGAAACATTATTGATGGTAAGGAGGTAGATAGTTTAGCTACCTTGCAAACTGATTTGTTGCCAGTAATACCGATATGTGAGGGAATCGAATCAATCACTATTCCTTGTTAATATTTAAAAATTCATTATACAGATTGATAATTTTTTTGATTCTTGGATCTAGTCTAGAGGTGCTACCAAAACTTTCTAGTACAGTTCTCAAATCAGTGTAGATAACAAATTTTGAATTTGATATATCTTTCATGTATTTTAGAGTTCTGTATATAGTGTAAGCCTCACGTTGAAACTTACCAGACTTATGTAGAACATTTCATATACTACAATGGTATTTTTTTCAAATTTTTTAACTGTCAAGTTTTGGTGAGAAATTGAAAACATAAAGTAGGTCAAACAATTAATTTTTAAAATGTAACGAATTCAATACATACATCAAATGAAATGACATATTTGTTCTTTAATGTCGCAAAATATTGCATTTTTGCCCTTATTACAATTAGAGTTAAAAATTAACTTCAGAAATGCGATCATTTTTTTCGAAAATTTTGAAAATTAATATGATCTCAAAAAATAGTATTTGGGAATAAACAAAGAACACGTTTTTCATATTTTTGCTTGTAATCTTCACAGGAAAAAGTTTAAAAATCTGGGACATTAAGTTCAAATTTTCCTTAAATTTGTGCGATTTGATGTGAAGTGTGATCTCAAGAACGAAATGGAGGACATAATTCTTTCTTGTCATCTCATTATCCTCAAGCTTCTGCTGCTTTGACGAAATATATGAAGTTGAGTGTTTGCCAGACACATGGTGCTCGCTAAGTTTTCTCAAAATGAGTAAGAAACACCATGTATTAAAAAAAAATTTTATTCAAGATAAACCCAAACTGGTGTTGCCAGGTCTGCTTCCAAACAATACCGGACAAGCGGAGGGAGAGAGTAGTAAACAAATTTAAATTTCCAATAAAATATATTTTTTACAAACATTTTAACACGTATTAAAATAATCACTTCAAAGCTTCACTTAAAATTACAAATATCAAGTATATTAATATATGTAAAATATTAAAAACATACCTATCGAACAAAGAAAAAGTATAATATAAAATTAATAGGTAAATGCAAGTTAAGGAAAATAGTATGAAAAAATATTTATGTACTTTCATTTAATGTCTTCTGGAGCAATTGAGTATGATTTCTTTTGGAGAATCAAAATCAATAGATATTCCAACTTTTTCTCATTCTAACAAAACTCTATTTCCCTAATCTTAATATCTTAGACTACAGCTTTAGATGACGTACCATTTCATCGTAAAGCTTTTGAATAAAAAATTTCCACCATTTTGTGAAAAATATAGTTTAGCAATATATCGTCGTTCAAAAATAAAAAAAAAAAACCGTTGGAGACAGTAAAACATTAAGGAATGTGCGACGCCAATTAATCTGTACATAATTTCGCACAATTGGTCGAACTTTCGTGCTCGATTCTCGTAAGCACGCGAAGTTACTTGATGTTGGAACTTGTCGCCAACCATTAATATGTCATGATGAAGACAAAATTAAGATGTCTTACTATATAGAAAAATTGTTAATAGTGGTTAGAACAAATTCATGAAAGCATTGGCGATTGAAATCAGTAATTTTAATATCAAAATATACGCTGAAAGAAAATTATACTTTATCACGAAAATGTAGGGCACTTTCGTGCTTTGGATTGTTGTAAAACCATGTGTGGAATCCAAGAATATTTCATTAGTATCGTGTGTAAAGTTGAGGTTATCACATTCTTGTTTGCAATGACGTATACGTACGTAAGCACAGCTACCAAGCATATTGTATGCATTGGTTTGTGTTTTGATGTAAATGGTGTCAACTAGTAGTTAATATTTTAAAGTTCTATTATATTAATTCTGAGGGGTCATTGAGGTGCAGCTGAAAGTATTTTGGTTTCTATATTGCATACTGGATGGTTGGGATTTCAACAACCATAAAAAACATTTGGAACTGCTTTGAAATGCATAATTTTCCTTGTAAGTAAATATTATTGTTGAGGGAGTGCCATTGATGTGCAGCTGAAAAGATTCTGTTGCTGCATTGCATATTGGATGGTTGGAATTTCAATTCACTCTGGGAAGGTCAAACATTTGAAACTGTGTATAATTTGGATGGTTTCATGTGACAGTGAATGCAAATATTCATTGGTTGATTTAATTTTTAGTTATGACGTACTGTGATATCCTTCGTTTATGCGAGACAACACGAGGAGACCCCTGTTCCCAATCCTTCCTTTCTCGTTAGGAGAAAAAAAATACATCTTTAGTAACGGCCTGTCGCGGGGATAGTCGTGTAGAGAGAAGAGAATAATGCGGACAAGTTAAGTTCACTATGTGGTCAGAAGTATCCGGACACGTCCAAAATGGTGTTATGGTGTGGTCCTTTTTTCTTAGACGGGGCTTTCACCCCTTGTTTTGGGTGGCACACAAACCGGCATGCAGTGTCACCTAAAAACATAATTCGTCAAAACTATGGAAAATCGAAATTAACATCAATAAATCAATAGCACAAGTATTTACTTTGATATATCCTGTGTTTCCTCGCCCTTTATCGCTAGACTTCTATCATTCCCAGAACTCCTCTGAATTAATATATTCCTTATCCTCTATATTCATCTATTCAGTTACATTTCGTCCAATGTAATTGAAGCCAATAGACGGTTGCCACAGATTCTCAACCGCAACTGTTCTTTAAAAGTCCATTCCTATTTAAGTATTTACAAATATATCCTTCGTCCAATATTAACTTACGCATGCCCTGTATGTATTTTAGCTGCCCCAACGACATTAAATAAGTTACAAATCTATCAAAACAAAATCTTAAGAATAATAGTACATGCTCCCTGGTTTGTCAGTAATAAGACACTTCACGACGATCTCGTAATAGAACCAATTACTTCCTTTAATTTTAAATCATTTACAAGGAGCAGTCATTTACTAAATTGGAACTGAACCCCCCACTCGCCCGCCTAAGATACAGACTCCCATTTCACATTTTCGTTCAATATATCTTCGACATCAGCTAAGGTAAGAACATGTGTTGCATTTACGTGTCTTTCCCATCGTATTCCTTTCTAAACCCTGTCATCACCCTCTAACGAATGTTTAAAGAATTTTCCTCGCAATAACCTTGGGTGAAGGCATAACGTAATGAAATCACTACCAGAGAGGTGACACGAAGTTACCCCTTCACATTTTGCTGATACAAATTACTCGCTCAATCAACTGAACAGCTGAACGTTGTACTGTCTGCCAATGTAAAATAAAATTTAATGATGAAAAAAGCAGTTTCTGTTCTAAAACTAAAATGTGATATTTTATCTAAATTCAATGTTAAATTTTACCGTCGCTCTGTCAGAAAAAAAGAAATTTGTAGCAAAGTGTTTAATTCCAACTCCTCTCATAGTAAGAAGACCAAAAGTGGAATTATCTTTAATCTAAACGATCGCACAGGGAAGTTAGCTGACAAAGAATTTCACCCCTTTAATTTATAAATAGTTCAAGCTATTTTAAGAAACAACAATCCTAAATTTTTTATTGTCAAAATCTTTAAGAAACTGATGTTTCTTGAGTCACATTTCAAACCAATGTCAAAAGATGGAAATAGTTTTGAAAATAAATGTTTAACATTACCTTTCGTTTCCCCAATTAATGATAAGTTAGAATAAGTTTTTCAAGAGAAACATCAGTGTGCATTATCAAAACTCATAATAAACAGACTACTCGGGAGTTCCAAAGATTATACTTCTCCTTTGAATAGAACCAATGCCGTTTACGGCATTGAATGCAACAATTGCGGTCAATTGGTACATTTAGGTCAAATTAGTCGTAAAGTTCCTACCAGAATGATAGAAAATGACAGAAACATCAGAGAAATTCCTCAAAAAGACATCTCTATCTCCAGTCATCGGATACACTTCGACCACTCATTCCGTTTTCAAAATCCAAAAGCATTTGAATTGTGTATTGTAACCACCACTCTTTTCGGTTGATTTAAAACCAAACGCCCCCGCTGGCTCGGGTGTGATGCATCAATCACCATCACTCCCCTGGTCTGGGTGCAGGTGGATTGTACTCGTATCTAAAATTACGTAGGTAGACCAGCAGCAATGTATCCTTCTAATTAATTTCTTTATAACCTTCACATATAAGTTTTTCCACTATTCGGATCTCAAGCTTAGATGGGATGTTCGAGATTTTGGGAATTGAACAAGACCAAGACATTCTTTAACACAACACATTTATTCAAAAAGGCACAGAAACATAACTATTACAAAACCAAAAACACACAAAATTCCGCAAATTCTATACAGAAAACATAACA